CTCAAACAACAAAGCACTTACTCCTTTAAATATAGAAACTGCTGACGCTTGAAGGAGTATCTCTTTAAAACGCTCCACATAAAAATAGAAAATAGAGGAACAAAAGAACACAATATAGTGTAACTCTGTGTAACAAATGTTATCAGAAAATAATAAACGAATATCACTCACAATGGTAGAGCAGAATAAAGTCTGCTCCAACTATAAAAGCTTTCAAATCCTCTCATCGGGATTCTGTAGGATAGTAGATAGATGTGCTTGAAACAAGCAGGACGGCACCAAATAAAAATAAGACTTTTATTAGTATAAAATTACACAGTGAATCATCACCCCTCTCCCTGGGAAGCCAAGCTGGTACAAATCCCCTTCTGACTCGCGGCATGCACTTGCGGTCTTCCAGTGGATAGATGCTTCCGGGAGTAGGAGGTGCTGTTGACACGTAATGACGTCGTACGTCCGAAGAACGTGATGACGCGCTTCGCCTTGACGGCTTCCTCAAATCACGTTCGGGTGGTTGCCGTCTCTCAGAACATATACCCGTCTATGTGGGCGTGGTATCAGCTTCCATAGTCCCAATTGCAATCAAGGTCCATGGGCTCCAAGGCATATTGCCTAAATGTCTCTTTGTAAAAATGTCAATCTCAAACATCACATATATCCTACTAATCCTACTAGTAATACCATTATAATTAATTGGGTATAATACACATATATAAATACACATCCTATTATATGGGAAAAAAAGAAATATAAAAGTTAGTTCATAAAAATATAAATAGACCAATAATAGGTAAATCTGAATGGTCCCAGTATACATAAAAAAATATATATTAATTCAAAAATTTGAGAGCAAGGAGGAAGAAAAAAAAAATAAAAAAATAAAAATAAAGAAAATACATAGAATAACAGGAAGAAGGAGAGCGTAATCATAAAAAATTATATAAATCGAATTCAATATTGAGTCCATTGTGCTCTAGGGAACCTAATTTATGTACCCATTTCATTTCTTCCTTCCCAATGTCTAGAATAAAATTACCTCCTCTCCAAGATTTTTTCACTATCTGAATACCTAAAAAAGTTAAACCACTTGGATCTGATTTGTGATATCTTTTAAAATGAGCCGAAACACTATGCGGCTCGAAACCCTTTTTAATATTATTAATATGCTCATACACTCTTTTATGTAGAGGACGAATAGTCCGGCCAACATATTGCAGTCCGCACGGACAGATTAAAAGATAAATAAGATTTTTACTAAAACAAGTTATAAAATCCTTAATTTGATTTTTATTGATTTTATAGCGCCATTTTTACTTGATTGTTTTACCCTAGAGCCCAATGGACTCAATATTGAATTTGATTTATATAATTTTTTATGATTACTCTCTCCTTCTTCCTGTTATTCTATGTATTTTCTTTTTTTTTTTTTTCTTCCTCCTTGCTCTCAAATTTTTGAATTAATATATATTTTTTTATGTATACTGGGACCATTCAGATTTACCTATTATGGGTCTATTTATATTTTTATCAACTAACTTTTATATTTCTTTTTTCCCCATATAATAGGATGTGTATTTATATATGTGTATTATACCCAATTAATTATAATGGTATTACTAGTAGGATTAGTAGGATATATGTGATGTTTGAGATTGACATTTTTACAAAGAGACATTTAGGCAATATGCCTTGGAGCCCATGGACCTTGATTGCAATTGGGACTATGGAAGCTGATACCACGCCCACATAGACGGGTATATGTTCTGAGAGACGGCAACCACGCGAACGTGATTTGAGGAAGCCGTCAAGGCGAAACGCGTCATCACGTTCTTCGGACGTACAACGTCATTACGTGTCAACAGCACCTCCTACTCCCAGAAGCATCTATCCACTGGAAGACCGCAAGTGCATGCCGCGAGTCAGAAGGGGATTTGTACCAGCTTGGCTTCCCAGGGAGAGGGGTGATGATTCACTGTGTAATTTTATACCAATAAAAGTCTTATTTTTATTTGGTGCCGTCCTGCTTGTTTCAAGCACATCTATCTACTATCCTACAGAATCCTGATGAGAGGATTTGAAAGCTTTTATAGTTGGAGCAGACTTTATTCTGCTCTACCATTGTGAGTGATATTCGTTTATTATTTTCTGATAACATTTGTTACACAGAGTTACACTATATTGTGTTCTTTTGTTCCTCTATTTTCTATTTTTATGTGGAGCGTTTTAAAGAGATACTCCTTCAAGCGTCAGCAGTTTCTATATTTAAAGGAGTAAGTGCTTTGTTGTTTGAATTTCACAAAGAGCACATATTCACAGGGTATTTACTACTGGATTAAATTTATTTGCACTTTAATAATATATATATTATATTTGCACTTTATTCATTACTGTTGGATCACTATTTGTTTACAAATTGTTCATATTGTTACATTAGCACTTAAAGGCACAGCGCACTTTTGTTCTTTTTTGTATTTTATTTGAGTGGTTTTAGAGCTATTTCACTTTTATTAGTGCTTGCTAGCCTTTGTGAGTGATACTATTTTTATTGATTTTATAGCGCCATTTTTACTTGATTGTTTTACACTAGGTGCATAACGATTAGGTTTACCACGGTTAATACACTGTGTATGTTGAGCATTATCAAGAGGTTTGACATGTCTGCCATTTAGCCCTATATAAAAGTAAGAGTTAGAACATTTATAACCACTGTTTGTCACAACAGTAACGTGTGTAGGTATGGTGTTTTATAGCGAGGGTTTATCCTCTTTTTCAGTTAGGTATGTATAAGTGTGTCTGTTGTGTAGTTAAATTATAGCACTTTTCATAGTGTTGACCAGATTTTTCTCTAATTCCCTTTTGTGGGAATTGGTCAGGTGTTGTGTCTAAGGGGGTGTGCACTGCACCTAGCACGTTGCTGGCTTGCCCTGTCCCCTCCTTGAGCTGCTGTAAGGGGTCAGGTTTGAGCCTAGGTTCCGGCCAAGGCAGTTTGCGTTCTATAAAGATGAGATCGTTGGATCCATGGGTACCATGTGCTTGGGTATCTAGTTGCGTGACTTAAAAGGGAGTACCCAATCTCCTCCACAGCTCTGATACGTTCCACTCTAGAGAACCATTCCTCTATCGGGGGTGAGGTCTGTTTTTTCCAGTATTTGGTAATAAGGGCCTTGGCTGCTGTCCACAGATATAATTCTAGTGAGTTGTGGTAGACTTTGAGAGGCATTGGGGATAGGTGTAGCAATATCTCTGAAAAGGAGTGTGGTTTTGGTATCGTGGCCAGGGCGGTTGCCACCGCTATAATGGTGTCCAAGTATGGGTGCAGTAGTGTACATTCCCACCAGATATGTATGTGCCCCTGTCCCCTCCACACCTCCAGCACACATCTGGAACCTGCTGATAAATGCAGTGTAACTGCATGGGTGTCCTGTACCATCTACTAAGTAGTTTGTAGTTGGCTTCAATTAGTGGAATGTTTAGTGTGTTCTTGTGTGTGATGTTAAATATTTTGTGCAAGTCAGAAGTCGTGTGGTTCCCAGTTCATGGGACCAGTCCTCCGTGAATTTGGGTATGGATTTACAGGCCGTGTCCTGTAGGAGTGAGTGGAGTGTGGAGAGTGGTCTTTTTATGGTTCAGGACTCCAAGCACAAGGTCTCAGATGTGGTGGAGGGTAGTGATACAGGTTTGTTCCGAGTCGTGGAGATGAATTGGGTGAGTTGGTGATACCAGAACGTGTCCATGAATGTAGACTGCTATCGGGGGCATAGCTCCGTGAGTGGTCAGACTTTCCCCCTATCAGTCACATGCATTATGTGTACATAGGGGAGTTGTGTGGGCTTGGGCCATATGGCCCCACGCATGCTAGGTGGGAATGCTGGGTTGTAAGAGATAGGCATTTCCTCTCCTGTACTACCTATCAGGTAGTGTTTGCAGGCAATTTTCCTCCAAAGATGTATGAGAGGGCTTTTAGTGGGTTGTGGCCTGCGGCAGATACTAGATAGTGCTACCGTCTGCCACGGTATGGAGGCCAGCGGCACCTCCACCCATTCTTGTTCCAGTGTTTTCCACTGTTTGCAGCTATCCTCGTTGCACCATTCCCAGATTCTGGTGAATTGAGTAGATAGAAAGTATTGGAAGGGGTCGGGCAGTCCCAGTACCCCCTTGTCTTTAGGCCTAGTCAGTGTACTAATTGACAGCCTGGCTCTGTGGCCAAACCATATAAAGTCAGTGAATATCCTCCGCACAGAGGCAAAGAACAAGGGGGTCACCTCTATGGGCAGTGCTTGGTATAGATAGAGTAGGCGGGGGAGTGTGTTTATTTCATTAATGTTTATCCTCCCTATCAAGGAGAAATGTGGTTTGTTCCATCTTGAGGTGTCTCTCTTAAGAGCTTGGAATAATGGTGTAAAGTTTAGGGTGTATATGTCTCGTAGGTTTGGAGTGATTTTTATCCCTAGATATTTAATATGTTGTTTGGCGATTTTGAAGGGGAATGTCGTTTTCATTTTAGTGAGCATTTGGTCTGCAATCACTTATGGGAGTATATCACTCTTATCATAGTTCACCTTAAAGTTGGATATGTTCAAGTAGTTTGATAGCTCGGATAGTAGGAAGGGCATGGAGGTCGCCGGATCAGTTATGGTGAATAGGAGGTCATCGGCATCTTCTCTCCTTTTATATGCTTTTTAAAAAAATAAACGTTTATGAATTTTATAACTTGTATTTGTATGTTTTAAAAAAAACACTTTTATAAACTTTAAAACTTGTACAAGTATGTTGTTCCACTTTTTTTTTTTTTATACAGATTGGTGATTTGTATTGACGTGCTCATCTTTTAAATAAAAAAATTTAAATGAGCGTCTGCTTATAAAAACATTATGCAATGTTTTGCAACATTCTAAAAAACAGTATGCAACGTTTTGCAATATTACAATAAAGAAATTGAGAATTCTGATAGGAAAGTTATCTTAGGTATAAACATCTGATCTGATATATCAGTACTCAGCCTGGGATAGTCACACTCTTGCATGAACAGCTAAGATAGAAGCATGTATTCTGTATTTTTTTATTTACAATTATGTTATTTTTTTTTTTTAATTGTGAACACGATGGAAGAATTATAATCGTATAAATGTCTGAACAAAAAAATACACCAAAGATCTTGGCTGCAAAATCACACGCATCAGAAATTGCAAGCACCCTTCAGCAACTCAGCCTGCAGACTGAACCTGGGGAACTACACCATACAAAAAGCTAGAGCAGATCTCCATGGATCCAGATAAAATCCAACCATGTGTTCCAGCCGCGCAGAAATGAAATCCTGTGACAGCAACAATACAGTGACCAGCTTGAACTCTGCATCTCTTCACACAGTTCTTATGCCTTATGTTATTTTAATTTGTTTTGGTGTTATTTTTCAATAATGTTTCTTTCAATAATGAATATAGATGGTCTATAGATGCTCCTTTTAATACACGGCTTAGCCCTACCTGCTGGCGAATGGGGCTTACAATCCTGCATATTCTTCACCCCTCAACCCACTAATGGCCTGCACTACCTTGTTATTCTCTCCCCGACAAAGTGGGTGCCAGCCTCTGATAAAAATGTAAATCGGCATACCTGCCTTTGACCCTTGCTGATGTCTACAGAGGCAGCTCACATTCTCTACTCATCAACATTTCATAGCTAGGTTCATAACTCATAACATATTATAGAGATGCAATTTCCACTATGGTAGATCCTACGTTAATTATATTTGACTGTGTATCTTCTATACTATTTTGCTTTAAAACGTCTTATAAAAAGAAGCTGACAACCCATACCCAAAGCTCCCTACTCTTGATTTGAATCTATCATTGTATGTTGGAACGCTATACTAATATGTCTTTATTACACGTCTCCCATTTTATTGTTGTAACCAATATCTTGCCTCAATAAAACATAGAATGGCAAAAAAAAAAAATGCTTAATTTTTTTCAAATAGGATATCCATAGTTTCTCTCATTTGCCAAAATGCAACCAGTTCAATGAAACACTGTATTAGTAAAAAAGTAAAAACAAAATTCCAGGTAGTCATTTTAATATCATGTTGCCATCACAGTGGTGATCCCTTAAATTCTCATGTCATGATGCATGATCATTCAGGCTAATATGCCCCTAGGAGAATAGGACTGGATAATTCTTTAAAAATATATATATGTATATATAAAATAAATGTTTAAGCATAACTAGCATCACAGAAATAGACAAATGTGCTCCATTTATACTTTGACATTATTATCTAGTCCATTTTATACATCATTTGTCAGGTCTCTTCTTATTTTCTTTTGCTGTGTGTTTGTTCTTTCCAGTATGTTTAGCCGATTCTTCCTGAAAATATACAAAGAGTTAAATATAGTTTAACTTAATACACAGGCAAATTTTTATTCTTAGATTCTACAGATACATTTGGCATATTATCCAGCATGCATCTTTAACTCAGGCCCGATGAGAGTTTTATTATTTTGTCATTAAATAAAGATTGTGATTTTCATACATTTTACTATAGGTGTGCGATTGATTTATGCTATAAAATTTTGATTGTACCTGTGGAATTTGACTGCGCTCTATAAATGTCATAATAATAATAATATGGAAGCGGTTTGTAACCTATAGCACCCTATTATTTGATATATATGCTGCATATGAGTGGATGCCCCTGCATGTATTAAAATATAGTGGGATATAAGCCACTACCAGGATATACATCTTAGTGCATTACAGTATAGGGGCACACACGGTCAGTGAAATTTCACACAAAATTAAATTGTGTACCGAAAACACAAAAAGTGACATCCAACCTGCAGTTTTGGAAGCGGTTGCTGATAAAACAGTTAAACAAAAAAAGTTTCAAAATACTCTTAATTAAATAGCATTTGGGGATTTAAAGAGCATTTGTATAGAAGTTTTAGACTCCAATCAGTCCTTAAATGATATATGGGAACGGCTCAGCCTGTAGTTGTGGGAGGAGTTACCCAGCCTATAAATACACAGACCTCCAATTCCTCTGGGCTGAGACTGCCTGGTTCAGCACAGAACCATTTACTTCTGGTTCAAAGGTCATCAACACAAACTACCTAAACTCCAAACAAGCTGTTCTGGCCTACTGTGGGCCAAGCAAGTATTCATTTTACCTCAGTCTAGTAAAAAACAGCCGCTTCCTTCAAAGCTCATGGGGCACTGCACTGTCTGGCCCAGCAATGGCTTTTCCTGCTGCTGTTTGCGCATTTATTACAACAAAACCTTAAGTTTGTTCATTCAGCACGCGTTGGGCCACGCTGCAACTGACATTCAACATGTATTCGCCCCATGTTCAGCCTTTCACTAACTAGGTAGGCATTCACAGTTCTGGGCCTAGGCCTGCTATCTGCCTTTGAGCCATAGTAGTTCCGTTTGTTTAGAGCTGTTCTAGCCCTATTATTCCTGGCTATGTCTGCAGCACGGGGGGCTGCACTTCATCTGTGGTCATTGAAAGTGCTTCACCTGACTCAGATCAGTCATCAGCATGGTATATAAACATAGCCTCAGCCTGGGAACTTTATCAAGTCTTTGATCCTGGTGTGTGTGTTCAGTTCCTGTATTCCAGTCTCTTGAACTTAAACTCCATATTGACCCCGGCTTCTGACTTAGTTTATTCTGGCCTCTGGCATCCCTGGACTTCGACTACACTTTGTTTACTCTGACCTCTGGCATTCTTTGACTTTGGCTATCCCCTGACTATCCTGCTGTTTTTGTCCTTGTTGGTACTGCATTGGAATCACCTTTCCTGCACAGCCCCCATGCACAGATTAACAGTCCAGGTGGCTTCTTATCTGGTCACCTTGGACTGTGTCTATCTGCTAGGGTGAGCAAACATATCTGCACTACAGACTCCCACCTCGGATAAGATCCTGACAATAACTGCATACATGTAGAGAATTAAAAAAAAAAAAAAATTCATGCAAAAAATGCACAACCTTTCATTAAGAAAAAAAAAGGCACAACTTTTAATGAAAAAGAAAAGCTGAAATTATTAAGTCTCCGTGAGAGATGCAGAACATTACACATACGTTTATTTTAGGCCCTTGAATGACCTTCAACATATGCTTCATATGGCCCTCAGTGGGCAACCTACTACGATCAGTGCCATGTTACTCAAGTGTCTCGTCATTATCTCTAATTAAGAGTCCTACCTTTCAGGCCTCTCACGAGTCAAGTTGTTTATATACACGTTATGATATGGAGCAGGTCTGCAATTTTGCATCACTGTGTAAATTGCAACTGCTCCACAGCTCAACAACCCACATCATATAAATGTATACACCCGCTAATTCTCAAACTGCCCTTAAATAGCTACCCCGCTACTCATGAATCAGAATGAGCTCTCTTGGCATTCTACTCCTATACCTTAACACACTGATCTCACTAGGCCTTCACTTACATAAGCGTCATACGGTCCCAGGTGGGCTTACAGCTACAACTTAATTTTGGCCTTCCTGTTGCTCGGGGGTTATATATTTCCCTATTATACTGCATTTACATATAAAAATAAAAATAAATGAAATCAGATCGAATACCAGAGCATCACTACTGTCCATACGCAATTCACAATCCATGTCTACAACTTTGGGACAATTAACCTACATTTCTTCATACCATAATCATTACTTTACATACACTTTATTATACACCCAGCAGCTCGAGACCTACATTTGGTAATATTTGCCTTCCGCTGCAATACCTCACTGGGCCTTCCCTCCATATATTACATACGGCCCTTTGTGGGCAATCTACTATGACACAATTTCTGCCACACATTTGGGAAATTACATACAACATTTCCAGCTTTACAAGGGTCAATTACAGTTCACTATTCCTCTCAGCCTTGTTCTGCCCATGCAATTCCTTCATTTACGACCCTCTGCACTCCTGAGAACCAAGAACTCCTCATTACACATTTAACCATATTCAGGCCTCCTCGGTCTGTCACGGTTTTACCTAAGCCTTGTATAATCCACAACTCCTGTCACAGGCACTTACTAGATCTTACATATGTTCCTTCCCATTAGTAAACCAGAGATGTTCCGATCTTTCTCATACATACTTCAGGTCCTTCTTGTGGAAGGCCGCACAGTGGGAACTCATTATTAGACACAGCACTACTAGGTATCTCTTTCATATCCATATTGACAATCATAAGTTCTATTATTATCTAGGTTTCTACTATCCCTAATTATCATCCTGTTAATGTTTTAATCCTTAACCACAATACAGGTACTTTATATCCTTACCTCAATAAGCCCTTACACCGTACTGGACATATTTCAAATACGAACAACATACATACATAAGGTAGAGCTCTTGAGTAGGAAATCCGTATAAATCTGTAATAGTACAAAAATGCAAGACAATAGTGCAATGTTGCTGGAACAAAACAAATATGATGTTTGAATGTTAGGAGTATCACTCACAAGTCAGGAGCCCAGTGGTCTCATTCCTCTGCTCTTTTCCTTGCAGCACCTTTTGGAATATACTCCTGGTATCCTGTGTATATACTTCTGGTATCCTGAGCATCCTGTGTGTCAGGGGATGAGAGCCCCAGAAAGAGAACCAGAGCGAAAAGGAATCGGACATCCTTAAAGTGTCCATAGGCGCTTACCATCCAATCCATATGTGATAAATGGCTCATGACTTTTGAGTGATACTCCTAACGTTCAAATATCATATTTGATTTGTTCCAGCAATACTGCACTATTGTCTTGCATTTTTGTACTATTACAGATTTATACTGAACTCCTACTCAAGAGGAGTATGTATGTATATTGTTAAACTTTTTGCTCTCTTTTACAGGCCTTACCTGAACGTCGGTTCCAGCACACCAAAACTGACTTACACCACCATTTCTATAACTCAGCTTATTGTATACGACCACAAATATTATGTAGCGGTGCAAAAAGCATTATCATACAGTGGAATGAACACATAGTAAAAGTGGCAAAAAAGGCCTTGGTCAAAAATGTATGGTATCTCATAACAGCCTGAGTAGAGAAAATAAATGCATATAAACAAATGGAAACATTCATCCAAATCATCAAAGCATACCATAGTATTAGTGTAGTTGTGCTCCACCAGAATGTTTCTAGCGCAGTTGTTGATATGTTTGAATCGATCAGGTCCAAGAAGGATACCTCCATACCAGCGTGATACCACTACCATGACATCACGGGCATCCAAGATCTGTGGGTAAGCACAGGCATTATGATGCTTTAATGAAAAATTACATAAGTATTTTTTCCAAATCGAGAACCACAGAGAATAACATTGTGGCTGGAGCATAGGTCTGAATCTTGCCACATGTCACAATTGCTTTACCATTGCAACAGTACTTGAGCAGTAATAGATTATTTACAGGCTGTAATGTTACATGTTCCTCCCATTTACATCATTGTATATAAGTGAATGCTTTTGTCCTTTTTTTGGGAAAAAGTAAAACCTCTCCTCTGCTATGTGCTGCAGTTTTTGAATAAGTTTCTGTCAAGGTGAGAATTCCTCATGAATGTGCAAAATTAAATAAATATTTTTGGAACATAACTTTCAATATAATTGATCTTACAGGTAGTTATACAATTTAAGTATTAACATTACCTGCATAAGATGAAGAAGTCTTTTTCCTGCTGCGGTTTCTCCATCATCTTCGCAGTCTTGTATAAATGTATTTGTTTTCTTAGAGTGTATCCTACAGAAAGTACACACCATAAGGAGTAAGCATTAAGGCCTGGAACCCACCTATAAATCATAGTTGTGCAGTGTTACGGATTCTTCAAAGAGAAGTACAAGCAACAAATAAAACATTTTCTTATGTAATTTATTTGTGAGATTTTGGTCTAAATGCACTGCTTAATTAACAAAAGATTATGGGCGATGCTTGTTTAAAATTGCTATTTGTAGAACATTATGTTCGTGTCACAGCTCAGCATTACTAAGTACATTAAACACATAGTTAAGGAAAAAGAAAACTTTTGGTTCACTTTTTGTAGCATACAATGGTTTTGCATTGGCTTTTTCTTGGGTGTAATCATTTCAAACATACAAACAAATTTATACTTTGTTGCAGTAACACTTTTTATACCTTCCTAATCTTGTCTGAATCAGATCCATATAGTGTGTGTATTAATATCAATATATCAAAAGATACCTGGGGGTCGCCTTATTTTTAATGTGGCAGCCTGTTGACAGTGTTAGGTGCGTTATTTAAAAGGATTTAAAAGGTTATGCGCAGTGCTCACTTTGAGTGCTGCTCATAGCTCATCTGTCAGTCTGTGGCCACTAATTGTGGGTCCAGCTAACACTCGGGGGGAAACCTCAGGTATCAAAAGATACCTGTGGTTCCTTGGTAGCAGCAGGGATTTAAACCCTGCTGGTACCGTTACTGCATGACCGTCATGTGGTCTTTAAGTGGTTAATGAAACAGTTTTGGTATATAGATCATACCCCTGCAGTCTCACTGCTTTGTTCTCTGCCCTTTAAGAGTTGGCCCCCTTTGTTAATGCAGACCTAAGCCACGCCTCCCCTGGCTGTGACTTATGTAGCCTTCCTAAACACTTTCTGTAAAGAGAGAGATCATTTTGAAACTTTCTGTATAGCACAGTCTGTTGAATATAGAATTTCTGTGCTGTAATATCAGATTGAAAATTTAACTATTTTCTCATGTAGACTTTGGGAGTTACAGCCAGGGGAGATGTTTCTAGGGGTGCATAAACTGAAATAATAGCTATTTAACTACTAAGTGGCAGGTAAATGACCAGTGAGATTGATCTATACACCAAAACGGCTTCATTAAGCCAATGTTATTTTGGGGCTTATAGTATCCCTATAACTTAGAGAGAGGGGGAAACAAAAAAACCTTACTGCATTCCAAGAAAAACAGACCGTCTGCACATTTGTGTATCATAGATTGAAAGCAAGACTTTTGAAGCAGTTCCTATACAATGTTTTTGTAAATTTCAGTACAATACCCACCTATATGCATAAATGTTGTGAGTGGCAGCAGCAATCTTTTTATTCTCATACAATTTATTCAGCACTGCTTTAACCTAAGGAAAGGATAGCAGGTTAACGAGAAAGTTAAAAAAAAAAAAAAATGATTTAATACATCACAGTCGCATTGTTAGCAGTAATAGCCTACTAAGGGTACAGTAGAACTCTGTGGATCAATAACTGTCAGGTAAATGTAGCAGCTGTACAGGTGTATAAATATGTAGGACAAAAGTATTTGGGGAAAGGTTCTATGCTTTGAGAAACCCTCCAGACACTTGCAGAAGTGCTTTATGTGTGAAGAGCGTGTCTTCTTTTTTCATTTTATAAAAAATACAAGTTTAAATAGAAATTAGCACATGTATAAATTAACCTTATTACATCCCACTGGGTGTCAATCGCATAAATAGTCCTGTAACTCTTTGGTTTATTAGCTCAGTGGAGCTAAACTCAAGGGAGTCCATAGCACCTTCTTAATGAGCTACATTGGGAAGACTGTGATTGGACAGCCACATAAAGACTAGACTTGGTTAGAACGGGAGGGCTTGCAAATGCTGCAGTCAGCATATCTGCAACTTTTGCAAGCTGATTTTTTTTATTTACGCCCAATTAAAAAATGCAGCAGTAAACGTATATCAAGACATATTTTCATTGGGTGTATATTTACTAAAATGTTGTTAAAAAAAAAATTAAAAATCCCATTTGAGCTTTCCTTTAATTCCTCACTTGCATAAGGCACTACACTTCTGTCACTCTCTGGGTGTTCCAATAAAATCTACTAGTTTTCCGCTTCATAGCCTATACATTGCATCATTGTCTGTGCAGACAATCTGCAATTACCTGAGCTCATCTGGTTTCCATCTCGATTTTCACTAAAAACACACACCTGATTAGTCACAACAATATTCATAATTAGCCATACACACACACCTCAGGGCAGAGCTGGACTAAACTAGCACACATAGACTAAACTAGCACACATAACATACATATACACACATAATACATCCATGCAATTTATTATTGGTTCATTTGGACATTCATTCCATAACCTATCATTTGAGGGTGGTCTCTCCTCTATCTCACAAAAGTAGCAGGTGAGGGCTAAAAAATACAGGTGATACTCGAAAAATTAGAATATTGTGCAAAAGTTCATTTATTTCAGTAATGCAATGTAAAAGAGGAAACTAATATATGAGATAGACGCATTACATGCAAAGCAAGATAGTTCAAGCCGTGATTTGTAATAAGTGCGATGATTATGGCTTACAGCTCATGAAAACCCCAAATTCACAATCTCAGTAAATTAGAATATTACATGCAATCAATAAAACAAGGAGTATACACAGAACAATATCGGACCTCTGAAAAGTAAAGGCATGCATATGGACTCAGTACTTGGTTTGGGCCCCTTTTTGCAGCAATTACTGCCTCAATGCGACGTGGCATGGAAGCTATCAGCCTGTGGCATTGCGGAGGTGTTATGGAAGACCAGGATGCTTCTTCTGCATTGTTCGGTCTCATGTCTCATCTTTCTCTTGGCAATGCCCCATAGCTTCTCTATGGGGTTCAGGTCAGGCGAGTTTGCTGGCCAATCAAGCACCGTAATCCCATGGTCATTGAACCAGGCTTTGGTGCTTTTGGTAGTGTGGGCAGCTGCCAAGTCCTGCTTGAAAATGAAGTCAGCATCCCCATAAAGCTCATCTGCGGATGGAAGCATGAAGTGCTCCAAAATCTCCTGGTAGACGGCGGCATTGACCCTGGACTTAATGAAGCACAGTGGACCAACACCAGCAGATGACATGGCTCCCCAAATCAACACAGACTGTGGAAACTTCACATTGGACTTCAAGCATCTTGCAGTGTGTGCCTCTCCATTCTTCCTCCAGACTCTGGGTCCTTAGTTTCCAAATGAGATGCAAAAGTTGCTCTCATCAGAAAAGAGGACTTTGGACCAATTAGCAACATACCTGGTCTGTTTTTCTCTAGCCCAGGTAAGACGCTTCTGACATTTTTTGTTGTTCAGGAGCGGCTTCACAAGAGGAATACGACATCTGAAGCCCATGTCCAGGATCCGTCTGTGTATGGTGGCTCTTGATGCACTGACTCCAGCCTCAGTCCACTCCTTGTGAAAGTCCCCAACACATTTGAATGTCCTTTTCCTGACAATCCTCTCCAGGGTGCGGTCATCCCTGCTGCTTGTGCACCTTTTTCTTCCACACTTTTCCCTCCCACATAACTTTCTATAAATGTGCTTCGATACAGCACTTTGGGAACATCCAACTTCCTTCACAATTACCTTTTGAGGCTTTCCCTCCTTATGGAGGGTGTCATTGATGGTTTTCTGCACAACTGTCAGATCAGCAGTCTTCCCCATGATTGTGATTCCTACTGAACCAGACTGAGAGACCATTTAAAGACTCAGAAACCCTTTGAAGGTGTTATGGCTTACTTAGCTGATAAGAGTGGGACACTGTGAGCCTAGAATATTGCACCTTTTCACAATATTCTAATTTACTGAGATTGTGGATTTGGGGTTTTCATGAGCTGTAAGCCATAATTATTGCACTTATGACAAATCACGGTTTAAACTATCTTGCTTTGCATGTAATGCGTCTATCTCATATATTAGTTTCCCCTTTTACGTTACTGAAATAAATTAGCTTTTGCACGATATTCTAATTTTTCGAGTATCACCTGTAATAGGTCCATACCTTCATCCCTTGGGCTGAGGGTTGAAAATAGAGTTAAAATGTTATTCGAAGCACCATGACCATTTTCTGTGTATTGAAGTGGTCATAGTGCAAGGAGCCTGCATGTACAGCATTTCAGCATGAAATGCTGCACATGCACAGATTTGTAGTGTTGTTGCTGGAGGTGTACGTAACATTATTAGCTAACCCAGAATAAGACTTCCTGCCTGCTAATGTTAAATATATACATAAAATCTATCCTATATCCAGCACCCATAGAATACTGGCTACGGATGAACAATAGTGGCATGGACTCCTACCTCTGTGATATTTCTCCTTCAGCCCTACCTCTGAGATATTTCTCCCCCTGCAGTGAGAAAGAGTGATATCATGGAAGGCAGATCAACCTGCAGGTAGATCCGATATCTAAATGGTTCGTTATTTTTAATAAGACATTATTTTTATGATTATGTGTAAACTAGTGCTACCTCCACAACTAAACTACGTCCAATAGGGAAGAAATTATGAAAAGTTTTCATTCGCGTATTATTGAGTTGGTAACATGCAAAATTGCTCAAATATATGAAGACTGGCAATGAAATTTCTTTGTCCTAACTTTATTGAATAAAAATGTATTGATATATTTGAAAAGAATGGGACTGAAAGTTGAGAGATATTGAACCAGGGCCAAAACCATCATGTATAATAAAATTCCTATCTATAGATGAAAGAGAATGGTACACCACAATTCCCTCTAAAATTTTAATAATTCAGATCTATTCTTCATGTCGCCACATTCCCAGTCCTCTGATTCCCAGTTTTTCTAACAAGTCTGCTCTTCCAGGTATCCTCTTCTGTTTCACCACATTTCCATCCATTCTATTATCATCTTCCAATCTTACTATGACTCTACATGTCTACCATAGCACATCTCTGCCACTAATATTAACCCATACAGTTGATAAACTCACTCTCCTCCCCCTTATTTTCCATCAGCTTACTTTACATTGTCTGTTCCTTTCTTTGTACAGCACCAACTGATCTTGTCTAACACTGTATGTCAAACTAAGGAGTTAAGTGGAAGGTCTACCACAGGACCAACGGGTTTATGCCCTCCAAAAAAGAGCAAACAAAAATTTGGAGATGGTGAAAATGGTAAAGATTAAAATGTAATGTTTATTATTGTTACCCTAAAATTAGTGAAACTACATAAATTCAGGCAATAAAACAAAACCAAAAAAAGACATGGAAAAAATACTAAATGAATACAGAAAATGATTAAATATAGTGTAGTTGGTTCAATTCATGATCAGTCTGATTCCAACCAGTTAAGAAATGCTTATAAATAATAAATATGAGTGCCCAAATGGTACATTTTAAGCATCATTTTTCACTAAATAAGTATTGACAATTATTGTAGAAAGTGGCACTACAACTTCCCTCAATTATCCTAAATCAATTACTAGAAACAGCAGCCATTTGCTAATTGAAATCAATCAAAACATGAGATGCAGACAAGCTACATTAGCAGTATTAGTTGCAAATTGCAGCAATAAGTATCAATTTAGTTCATTGCCTGTAATGTAATAAAGTAGTTCAAGCTGTACTAAAAGATGGCCACTAGATGTAGCTGTTCCAGTATACAGTACACATATTTAACAAAGTAATAAGAAAACTGATCCGAATAGCAGCAATTTGCCAAAGATTCAATAAAACAAATTATAAAAAACAAAACAAAAAAAAAACATGAAAATCAAGTTAAGGTACTTTTCAAAAACGTGAAAAAAAACTTGTACACAATGGATCATAAACAGAGTGTTGCAAAGGTTAGTTGTACGATGAATTTATGCAAAGTGCTTGACATAGATTAATAGATTATGCAATGAGTGAAAATGGCATTTTGATACAGTCATTGAGCTGCAATATAGGCCTTGATTTAATATTTTTAGATAAACCTTTCAAATTATTTATCTACAAAACTTCTTAAAGGCTTTAATGGTGACTTCAGTGGATAAATCATTTGAAAAGTATATCCAAAAATATTGAATCATTTGAAAAGCTTATCTAAAAATATTGAATCATTTGAAAAGCTTATCTAAAAATTTTAAATCATTTGAAAAGCTTATTTAAAATGTTTAAATCATTTGAAAAGCGTATCTAAAAGTATGACATTGAGGCTATAGTTAGATGTTATACTTAAGAGGATAAATTATTTTAGACTAAAGATCAATTGTATCCCTGGCATTACGGTATATGGCTTGTGCATTGTCATATTTTCGTTAGTAATTGCAATATATATAGTAGAAAGGTTACAGAAAGGGCACACAGAAGTTCATGTCCTTTAATTCTGTGCATTGCATTTAAAATAGTTTAAAACATAAAATGTGTTTTATTGTCTGGTTGATCTCTGGAATACAGAGGGATTTAGTCACAAAAGCTGGCATTTCCGCTACCCAAATACTCGCAGAGGGTATTGAACTTTGTGAACTGTAGGTCGGTCAGCAGTGACAATTAAAAACTTGGCAGCCAAGTAAAGCCATGACCTGCACTGTTGGACAGCGTAAAAAAAAAAAAAAAAAAAACACAACGTATAAAACAAACAAATATATTTATTGGGCATCTGCATTTTTAAATATTTTTTTTCCTCTTTTTTTCATACTTTTTCAGTCTGCTCATGATTAGTGGGAGTTTCTCCCATTAGCATCCTTTATTCCAAAACTAATATGCCAAATGAGGGCCTGGGAAGACAGAGATTCTTCTCCTCAGTTCCTCCCCTGGCATATCACTAACAATAGAAATTAATAGTAATATAAAGTGATATCAAGTCAACTGTAGGTGAATTAATCTGTGATCTATTTTACACTCCACATATTAACAAATGGTATGATCTATGGCATATATAAAAAAAATAAAACACTAATTGCCAAAAACTGTGTCAGGTATTATTCAACGAGCAGGAGTGAATTTTAGTCCCAGACTATTTGAAGTCACGATTTTCTGTGCTTAAAAAAAATAAATAAAAAATTATAGTATATTAGATAATGATGCTTTATGATACCATGTAGAATTTGCTATTAAGTATAGCTACGTACTATGTTACACTAACCTGCAATGGGCTGACCACATGAGCCAAGTGTGCCTGAAAAGTACTCCTTCGATCACTAATGGGCTCCCCGTGTTCTACTGTAGGTATGTCTTCTTTAGTTGCTGGAAAAAATGTAAGTATTAAAAAGCAGTGGATGTAAAGTCCTATAGCCTATGTTTAATGTCTATGAAGAAGTCGTGAGTTAACATGTACTTTAATACTCTTTAAGTAGGATTAGTTGAAGAAAAAAAGGAGGATTAGGAAAAATAAGCAACAGTATTTTGCAGTAAGTAAACGTTATTTCTAGTGTAACTTGAATGAGTGGTAATTCTGAATATATGCTTAGAAGTTGATTTGGAAAGTTATGTTAAGGTTTTAGTTCTTCCAATGAATAAGTATTTTGTAAAATAACAGTTAATGATCCTGTACATAATACAAGCAGGACAAGGATAGAAATACAAATCAAGTATTATCGACACACGCAAAAAGTAAAAATTGGTGTATTGGGTGTCATAACAAGGGAATCTTAAAATGCAAAGGGAAAAAATGGACAAACTGAAAACTTGGGCCTGCATTTTGCAACTCTCTTGACAATTCCCAACAATTTATTCTACAGTGAAGAAGGCCGTACAAATTATTTATAAATATTGCAGCGTAGAATTTAACTTCACTTTGGCTTGATTTCTCTTGTCAGCATAGTAGTGTCTGTTTAACCCCTAGTAACCCAAATTCTATGAGCCCAGTTGAATAGGTTCTTTAGAAAGCTATTGCCTTCTACTCGTGGCTTATTGTGACACTGCAGACGAGCACTAAGTAAGGCTAAGGATCATGGGAAATGTATTTATACTTGCATAGTTACATAGGTTGAAAAAAAGACTTGTGTGGACATTGCTATTGTTATCACAATCCTATAACTATAAAACGATATTGGCAACGAAAACAGCACTGTACGGTTTTGTTTTATTTAAACACATTTTACTGTAAGTCAGAAGCAAAATCTTGAAGAAAACAATGTATTACCTTCCGAATCGTTCATGTATCCAGAAACTATTGAATTCTGGAACAAGCCATACGATAACTCAGCACCAAGTAGGATTTCATGGTCGTCATCAACATAGTTTTCCTCAGTTGTGGACTTTAAACTAGTACCTGTAAGAGAAACTATTATTACATGTCTAGTACTAATATCATCATCATTTTCCTACTTTAAATCAACACAATAAATATGAAATTAAGCAGTAGAAATCATTTAACATATATATTTAGGCTTAATTATAATTCCACTCTGTAATTTGTATTAGCCTTTTACCAGTCACCACAGCTCTACATTATTCTCAATTCACAATTATTCTTGTGTGCAGGGAACTTCTGGCACCACCATCAAAGCAAAGCAATAATGCTAAATTTTATAGCATGACCGGAGGCTTCATATTTGCTTAAGTCTCTCTCTACTAGAACTCCACAGCAGCACATTAACATAGAGATAAAAACACCAGAGACAAAAATAAATCAGGAATCTATAAAAGGCTTCTCCCAACTATTTCCTCTTTCTTTGCTGCTCCGCAGACAGTACAGGTCAGAGTACCACTGCCTCCTGTTATATATGGGTGGTTGTGGATATTTTACTGTATTTATATGTTTATTACTGTATTATTTAGCTATACTGTATTTTCTGCATCTACCTACTTAGTGCTCTAGTGATTGATTTATTTAGCTATACTGTATTTTCTACACCTACCTACTTAGTGCTGTAGGGATTGCTTGATTGATTTATTTATTTACTCTGTTTTTCTGCATCTACCTTCTTATGGCTGCAGGGATTTATTTGTTTAGAATGTGTTTACCTTCCTACTGCCATTATGATTTATTTATTTAGATTGTATTTTTCTGTCCCTACTTTTTTGCTGTAGGGATGAATTTTCTCTTATGACTTTTCTGCATTTTCCTGTTTTGGTCCCCCTGTCTGGAGATCGTTTTTTCTCGGGTTTGGGGGTGAGGGTTTCCTTTTTCCCTCCCTCCCTCTACCTTTTCCGGGTGGCTTTGCCCCCTTCACTTTTCGTCCATTTGCAGCCGCCGGAAAGCGGTCCTCCGGAAAGATAAGACTCCGAGGAGCGGCTAGCCCCTCTGCAAGCGGCCAGACGGCCCTGCCTATATGGCGCAGGTGAGGCAATGACCACCGGACGCGGCAGTGACCACCTTCTTAAAAAGGAAGATGACTTGAAGGAGTCAGAATCTCCGAGTGGAGAGCAAGCAAGGGCGCATAAGCACTACGGGTAGGGTGAAGGCCCGGAACCAGACGCCCGGAAAGATTAGACTCCGGAGAAGTGTCTAGCCCTGATACGATCAGCCTTGACGGTCAGACGACACTGCCTATGTGGCGCAGGGGTGAAGGTCCCCGTAACTCCCCCACCATGGCCGCCCTAGCTGAATGGCGGGCAGACCGGTTCCCCTCAGAAGGAGAGGACAATGTGGGGTGTGGATTATGATGATGGCCCCTAGTGGCACCATGACATGTAGAACAAAGTCCACTACAGGGGCCCCAACGACCGTGGAAGAAGAGGTCTCGTGGATCGCCTTAAACGAACCCCTGTTCGACCCTCGATCCATTGCTCACCTGGTTTCTTTGGAATGGTCTCTGCCCAATCACCTAGCACCATCGGTGCATTTCTGGGCCCGTAGACCGCTGGCTTGAGAAGCCCGCAGGATAATTCGAGCGGTATTCCCAGCCGGGCTCCCGAACTAAGTAGCCGCAAACCCAGACTTAGACTCCGATGGGGCACTGCGGTTTTGCTGGTTAAGCACCTGTCTAGTATTCAGGAGATCCTGAGTGCGGCCTACTGCAGTGCCTGTACTATTAAGTCCGCACTGGCAAGCCGATTGTTTTCCGCTACACGAGTGAGTTGTGCTAGCGGAACATATGAGGAAGTATATGTGTCCTTTTTTACATGGAAATACTTGATGGAGGCTTATCTCAGCTCCAACCCGTACCTTTTATAGGGGATTGGACCCTTGACCCGGAATTTCACACTTGCCTTCACTTTCAGATGACATCCCAGACGGGGCCCGAGTCTGGGGTGGCAGACGACCCTATCCTAAACGCAATTTGGTCCGCTGGAGGTGCTTGGGATAAAGGAATCTGAGCCCCTCGGAGTCCCAGCACGAGTCTACGATTGAACGTTTATTCATTGGTTACTTTGAATTAGACGCGGCCCTCAAGAAACGTCTAGGGACCGCTGGGCCCAGTTCTGGTAAGGTAGCTTCTATTTTCTCCCTGGTGAGATAGGTATCTTGTGCATCAGTCATTTGGGCGACAATACAACCTGGTTGGGAGGAATTGAGGACATTCAGGAATTCCAGAACTATTTGAAGAGATCTTTCTCGTTTTCCACGCGTTGGGATCCGGACGCAACTCTTCATCGATATAGGACATCTTGCTGTACGGTCTACCTGGACGGACTTGCCAGGCCCCCTGCGAGGTACCTCCCAGACCGAAAGTCAGATGCTCCCTGCATTTCCCTTGTTCGAGTCCCTGGATTTCGTCTTCAACCAGGGAAATATCGACCTCCTCTACATCTCAAGGAGTAGAGTCCTGGAAGGCAGATTGGACGCAAGGGGGTGCCTCCTACGCTCTCCTCTGCTCGAGTACGTATGGAAGTTTCTCTGGGAGGACCCGGCGTCAAGACTTTAGTCCACGGAGGACCCATCAGGCCCCGACCAGTTTGGCTGGATGACGGACCCGTTTGCTCAGCGATGGACGCTTCCCTCCAGGAGTGTTCGACACGGAGACGCGGACGAGTCTCCTCCATTTGTTTGGTATCAGGACCTTTCTACAGGTGCCTCGGTCTACTGGTACTTTGGAATTATGATCTCTGCTTCGGCAGAGTCTAACCTAGTTCCTGGATTTCCTGGACCCTTGCTCATTTGATCTTGGGAATTGTGAGACTTTGGTCTGCATGGCAACCCTGACGTAGTTGGGTCAGGTAAGGATCTCCTAGTTTTGCTACCACTTTTACAGGGTTTGGGTATTGTTCGGTCACTTTATTACCGAGGACTGCCATATTAATTAGATTAGGTAGCGCGTACGACTGTCAGCGGGCCTCGCTCTGCTTAGAATTCCCTTTACGATTCCTGAGGACAGGTATTCATCTCCCCAGGGGGTACATGCGTTTTTGTCATGCTCCTATGGTGGGTTCTGTCGGGTTTTGCCCATTCACTGATTCTGGAGTTATTTCCGTTATTATACCTTGTTTTTCTTTCAGATGGGTTCAGCGGTTCGTACCTTTAATTGTCTATCAGCCTTAGTCGGATCCGAGGGTCATATTCTTACTTTGGTAGCGCTCCCACCTTTAGGCGGTGTTCGACGTCACCGTTTGTTTATATGTTTTTTTCCCTTTTTCCCGCCCTTCATGTACCGCTTGGTTGTGGTTGGCATTGGCGGGGCGTATAGGTTTTTTCGGTTCACTTCAGTCCGTAACACGGCGACTTCAGGTACCGACATGGCGGGTGTTTTTCTCCAAGACATCGTACGTAGGTTGGTACGGCGGATCGTGTTTCTTTGTTCTTTGCTGTCCGAGCGTTAAAACAGCAAATATGAAGGCTCCTGTCAGGCTATAAAATTGTAGATTATACTAGCTTTAGTGTAACTATAATCTTAATTTTATTAATGACAGGAGGCGAATATTTCCCTCACAGTTTCTCCCTCCCCTTGTTGTTTTGACTGACTTGTTGTTTATTCACCTGGTCTCCTGGGCTAGGTTGGTTATCTGGGGGAGTTGGGGTTTATCTGGGATATGGTACCGTCAGTATTTTATGATAGGGATTCAGGTTTTCTCAGTACATTTAATTCGCTAATCAGTGTTTCGACTCTGTTTATCACATTTCAGTTTAATGGTTTGGCTACAGTTCTTAGATCCGACTACTCTACAGGATAAAGGTCAAGGCTTCACCCACTGGTTCCACGGTTTCAATTTCGGATGGAATTCATTGTTATGTTATGTTTGTTTCTCCTGTTATTGTATTTGTGGTGTATTGTTCATGTACTTTATTTGTCGCAGCGTGAAAGAGGAAATAGTTAGTTGGGAGAAGCCTTTTATAGATTCCTGATTTTTTTGTCTCTGGTGTTTTTATGTTAATGTGCTGCTGTGGAGTTCTAGTAAAGAGAGACTTAAGCAAATATTCGCCTCCTGTCATTAATAAAATTAAGATTATAGTTACACTAAAGCTAGTATAATCTACAATTATATGGTGCTTGGAAGCGCCCTTTATGATTTTGAGACCCAATATATAGTAGATAAGAAATGGTTGCATAATGTGAATGCATTACAAGAAATTATATATCCCAGGTATGCAATAACAGGTTGTGATTTAAAGGAACCCTATAGTGTCGGGAATACAAACATGTATTTTAGGCAATGGCCCCCCTTGGCTCTCTTTAACAAGGTATTAAACTTACATTTATTCCAGCACTCCCTGGGTCCGCCGTGACTGGCTTCACCTCCTTGGCGTCAATCAGCATCACCTCATAGAGATGGGGAATGATCAGCACTGTGCCATCTCAGTGATCGTCTGATAAGGCAGTGTTTACATTAAAAAGCCCGAGGGGACAAACTATAAACACCAGAACAACTACATTAAGTTGTAGTTGTTATGGTGACTAGAGTGTGCCTTTAAGATAGGCCTCCATTTAGAACCGTTATTCAATTTAATTACCTTCTTTTTAATTATTCACTTATAAGTTCAATTTAGAACGGTAATCCTCTCTACAAAAGAGTAGTGTGTTTCCTTATGTGTAAAGTTACACTTATCAATAGATTACCTAAAGAAAACCATTGTCAATGAAACATTTCAGCGGAACATTGTGCACAAACATTGAAATCATAACCAGTAGGTCAAGCAATTATACTTTGCCACAACCTTGATCAGCTGCGTCAGATGTCTGAGACTTTTCCACCAGGAATTCTCTAACCTTCTCTACCCATAGATAAAGGATGTTCTCCCCAATATTTTGCCTACAAAGCCAACAAAAGAAAGATTAGAAATGTAACAAACATAAAATAGCTTGCTGAAAGCTAACCCTTAATTGTTATGTATAAAAGGTGTGTGCTGAAAAATGCCCCAACCTTTCAACAGCAGGACATTCACCATGGAGCAGACACAATGCTTTGATGACGTTTCCATATCCGCAGCAATTTTAGGAACATACAGTTTTTTATTGTTTTTTTTTTTTTTACACAGAACCCCCTTATGTTTAGCTTTCCTGGCAATAATACTAAAGATCTTTGTAAAGGGAAGTACACCCAGCCACAAAGAGATGGGAGAGAGAAAAAATGGACGTAGAATTGATTGAGGCTAGAAGACCTATTTTCATAAATTCCCAGTCACAGGCTAGAAATGTGCTCCTTGTTCATGATGGTTCTCTAGGAGAAGCATTTGATTGGACAAGAAGTTAGAAAGATGTTAGCAGGCATGAAAAGGAAGCGGTAGGCAGAACGGCTTCAAGCACTGGGTCTTGGCACTGCATTATCTAATGTAAATTTAAAAAAAAAAATGGGGGGGGGTGGGAGATGCAGAGTAAAAACAAAGACGGCAAGTAATGCCACTAAGAATAGAAGAACATAATATTTATACTTTTGTCCCCCTTTTAGCATTTCAGTGCAGACCAGAAGTATAATATGTGCTCTACAGAGCCAGGTAAGTGTCAAACAGTTTGGAAATGGTTTGACAACACTACTGGCTCTGGCACTACCGGCACTATAATAATAAAAAAAAATGTGTGTAGTCATTATGGTGCTTAAAAAAAAGTAATCCTTTAATAGAAAAAGGGATTTTTTTTTTGGATTTTTTTTTAGTGTTTATAATCTTTTATCCAATTTAGAATGTAACGCAGACATCATAAACAGATTTGCTTCCAAATCATTTGTGGGTTGTGTTGCACGCTAGAAGCAAAGAGGAAGTATATTTGTGTATTTTTATTTTTACAATAGCATGTAAAAGAAATTCGACTGAAAAAATAGCACGCGATAGTATGATGCTGAGGTTAGAATGGTTGAAAGTAAGCAGCTTTAATTTTTTGATTATACCTTGGGTTTTTTAAGAAATTCTGCTGTATAATAGATGCTGATGTTACAATAGTTGATTGTAAGCAGCTTTAATTTCCCGAGTATATCTCGTGTTTCATTAGTCAGAAACCACAAGCATGAATATACTGTTCTTAAACATTTTAAACAAATGGCAACCAATTCAAAAAATACACTGGTAAGTTTAGCCATTTTGAAATAAATAAAATGAGAAAATGTCTATTCAGTCAGAAATTATACCATCTGATGCCATCTGCTGGTACATTGCAGAATTGCAGGTATTGAGGGAGGAGGGGGAATCCAGAAATTAATACCTTGTACTTTTCCAAACTTCCCAATTACTTTTCGCCCAAGAAAGACTGCATATCCCATTGGACAACTAAGCCTACAGTTCCTAATATTCTCTAGCAGCTATAATCAGGCAAACACGATGGGTAGTGTGACCAAATGACTGCTGGAGGGCCAAGGTTGCCATCCACTGTGTAAAATGTTCAAAAATCATGCAGGTCTGAAAATTCACAGATTCTCAGAATCTAACTCAAAGAATGTAGAAGGCTCTTCTAATGACATATAGACAGCATGCTAAAATACATTTAATAACATACAACAAGCGATATAAATGCAACCCTCTAGGGCCAACAAAATGGCGGTGAGAAAGCACTTCTCCCTGCTCAGCGCTCTCACGCGCACAGCAGTGATGCCGGAGCCGGAATATAACGTCACTCTGGTTCTGGCATCACTAAGAGGCGCTCGAGGGAGCTGAGCAGGAAGATCACTGCTCTCTCGCCGCCCGCACTGTATGTCCACACGCCAGCAGCCACACTAGACCACAGGGACCGCATGTCCAGATGCTCAGCAGCCCCACTGAACGACAGGGACCGCACGCCCAGCCGCTCAGCAGCCCCACGAGACCCTCATGGACAGCACGCCTAGCCCAGCAGCCCCACTGGGCCACAGGGACATAGACTACATGCCAGCACTCCCAAAGGTAGGGAGGCTGGGTGGAGTAAAATAAAAAATGTTATGTGTGTTCGTCAGTGAGAGTGTATATGTGTATGTGTGTTTGTATGTGTGTCTGTCAAAGAGTATGTGTGTTTGTCAGTGAGTGTATGTGTGTCAGTGTATCTGAGTGTGTGTGTGTGTATGTCAGTATGTGTGTATGTCAGTGTGTTTGCATGTGTGTATCTGAGTGTGTGTATCTGAGTGTGTGTATCTATGTGCCACTATGTGCCAGTGTGTGTGTGTATATCTGTGTGTCAGATACATACACAAACACACACACAGATATACCTTGACACACAGAGTGGCACATACAAACACAGATACACACACATAATTTGATTTGGGGGTGAGGGGGACTTCACGATGTTGATACATTATGTCAAAGGGTTCCACTGGAAAAATTCATTGGGAACCCCTTCTCTAGGGGATAAGTGCAACTTTTCTAGACTTTAATTCTTAAATTAGCAAATAAACCTGACACTTAATGTGTTTTATTAATAATGTGGTATCTTTGTAGCGCCACGAATACAAATATATATTTTCTTGAACTGCAAGGGTCTGGTTGGGAAAACTCGGTCTAAAAACACAAGACATTTATTATAAAATGTCACAGAATGTTTACTAAAATTTAAAAATATATCATATTGCGCACTTACAAATAGAGTTCTTCCAGACTATCTGATAAGATGGTACGATCTTGACCTCTTAGCCATGGAGCACTGAAAATACAAAGCACAAATTGACCCAATATTATGCACAGTACAGTTACTGTAGTCATTCTTTTTAATTACAAATGGTTAGCATATGTTAAAGAAGAAATATATTGATTAATATAAAATAAAAAAACAGAAGCTTACATGTTTAGCACTCAGAATAAAACGGTATAAGCAGTGAAATATTTAGGCCAAGACATATTAGACTTTTTTTGTGGGAGTTAATATAGTAGTAACTTCCAAATGGCAGCAAGATCCTCAACACCTCCAAACTCAACCATCCCGATTGTCCCAGGCATCTTGTGGACAGAAGGTCCTACACACTGTGTGAGTGATTTGTGTGCAGCAATTCATCTATAGAAATGAACAGAGTAGCCATAGAAAAGCAAGGAGATCTGATTTCTGGGAACGAAAGAAAGACAATGAAGAAGATGGGAAGGAAATCTACTTATCTTCATTTAATTTTGACTAAGGAAGAGAAGAAAACTTGAGCAAAAAGTTGGAGTTGACAGACAAAAAAAAACCCCAGAATTTTTAGAAAGTGAGAAAATGAAACACGGCTTTCAGGGGGGGTGACCGGATTTATGGTGATAGAGGGAGAAGGGCACGAGCCCTGTTATATTGGGGAAGGAGGAGAAGCGATGTGAGTCTGGAGAGAAAAGATGGAAAAGTAACCTGAAATCAGGTTAGCGAAAAAGGAAAGGAGACAACAATTCTGTGGGGAGGGAGGGGGGAGTACCTACTTTAACTGATAAAGAGGAGGTGCAGAAATAGGATACTCGGGGGGCAATATAACCTGGAATAAAATGGAGAAGCAATATGTTAACAATGCAGCATTCAATTAAACACAAGTGTAAAACAGTGTTAAAATATTAAAGGAACACTATAGGATCAGGAACACAAACATGTATTCCTATATTGAATCAATACATCTCTAAGAGGAATGTTCAGTGTCTGCATGCAGTGGGTGGAGACACTGAATATTGCAGCACTGCCCCAATAAGCACCTCTACTAGCCATCTGAGGACTGGCCAATGGGTTTATTACTAGGCTGTAATGTAAACACTGCATTTTCTCTGAAAAGACAGTGTTTACTGCAAAACACCTGAAGGGACTGATTATGCGCACCAGAACAAATACAATAAGCTGTAGTTGTTCTGGTAACTATAGTGTCCCTTTAGGTAACAGAATGTTAATGATAATACATTTGTATATTTTATGACATGTTGAAAGTAACGTTGATATGATAGATAAGCCTACACATTCTCTGTATTATAATAACAAGTCTACTAAACTAGTGGGTCAGTACACAGCACAATTATTGTTAACAAAAGTATAATAGTTAATTCAGAGATACTACTTATAACTACAAATGTCAGGACTAAATGCTTTCTTTGTTAATCACATTCTTAAAGGACCACTCTAGGCACCCAGACCACTTCAGCTTAATGAAGTCGTCTGGGTGCCAGGTCCAGCTAGGGTTAACCCATTTTTTCATAAACATAGTAGTTTCAGAGAAACTGCTATGTTTATGAATGGGTTAAGCCTTCCCCCTAATCCTCTAGTGGCTGTCTCATTGACAGCCGCTAGAGGCGCTTGCGTGCTTCTCACTGTGATTTTCACAGTGAGAGCACGCCAGCGTCCATAGGAAAGCATTATGAATGCTTTCCTATGTGACTGGCTGAATGCGCGTGCAGCTCTTGCCGCGCGTGCGCATTCAGCCCAGGAGGAGGAACGGAGGAGGAGAGAAGGAGGAGAGCTCTCCGCCCAGCGCTGGAAAAAGGTAAGTTTTTACCCCTTTCCCTTTTCCAGAGCCGGGCGGGAGGGGGTCCCTGAGGGTGGGGGCACCCTCAAGGCACTATAGTGCCAGGAAAACGAGTATGTTTTCCTGGCACTATAGTGGTCCTTTAACCCAGAGACTGATTCCCATCATCTCTAAATCTCCAGGCACCTCAGAGATTATACTATAATAGTAGTAGTAGTAATAGTACTATTATAATAGGGGGAGAAGAAACTAGGTCCTACCATAAGCAAGATAAAGCAGTTTGGGCCATGCATGTTTAATGTAATACTTTACCCATTTTATTAACATGTACTTAATACAGAGCAGAAATGATTTAACCCTTTCAGGAGTACAAGTTACACAAATCCCTTTAGAACATAATGTTCATGTGTGCTAAGTCATTTATCATTAAAGGGATGCCTGGAGTAGGGGAGACAGAAAATGCAGGAAATTGAAGAATAAAGATTTTGGCAGAAAAACTCAAAGACTCATACTTAGAATGGAATGCAGAATTATACTGAAACAGGAGAATAAAATATCCTGGGGATTTTAGATTAATCAGCTTTTCAGCAAGCGAGCAATGTGACTAAACAGGAAGTAAATGTCTAGTAAAATACTTTGGTGTAAGGGAAAATGGATTATTAGTAGGAAAATATAACCAAGCTCTTTAATAAATCACCTTACATAATGTGCCCACTCTTACAGATTCCTCTGTTCCCATCACCCCTAAAATATCCGGTCTGGTTTTGGAGACCTAATCCTCATGAAAAGATTAAAAGGCACTGGAGAAAGTTCACTATAAAATACATAGAGAAAACGAGCTGGAATGCTATAAAGTTTACTTAACTGAAGAAGAATGAATGAAATATAGATATATATATACATATATGTACATACAGAGAATGCACAGGACTGGCATAATAAAAACAAGATATGTAAGATTTCAGAAGGTACAAGGAAGTGCTATTTGCAATAAAAATATAAATTACATAAATGGACATTGGGAATAAATATGCATTAACAGAAAGACTTGAAGACACTTGGAATACCCTTCCTGTAAAGGTTGTGAACGCTATTACATTGAAAGATTACATTTTGGGTAGACCCATTGCTATCATAAGCAGAAATCAAGCTGGAGAATAAACTCAATGCCAGAAGGCTTTTACCAGGTCCCATTGTGTGTTATAGGTAACCTGTGTCGGTGGTGTGACATGTAAGTGGAGTGCCTGGATTTTTTGTCAAACCATTAAAAACTGTAAAATAAAAGATATCGCTGGTGCCCAGCAGAGAATCTGAAAACCACTGCAGCCAAATGTAACAGTATAATCCAAGCTAAGAAAATGTGTTTTTATTTGTATTTATGAAGACAATTATATTTTACCTGCAAGCAAATGATCCATTTGGGGTCATCTGTAGAATCAGATACTTTGATACAAAATATTCGTGCAGCTTCATCAATTACACACCAATCATCTCCATATATGGACGACAAGGCTTCAATCTCATCAATCTGAAATTTACAAACAAAGCAAATGACGGAGTTAAAAGGTATGCAGCGTGTATCATATAGCGTACGATATGTAAGTGAATACATTACATACAGTATTTAGCTAAATTGGAAGATTTCATTTAAAACTAAATTCTGAAACTCTGTATAAATGATAAAATGCGAAATACAACATAATCATTAGGTTGGACCTGTAAAAGTTCCTTAATAATTTCAGATATATTCAGTGAATGTTTAAAGAACACAACTATATAAACTAAATAAAACTGTAACAGGTTAATGCAACACATTGGTTGTGTTTTGCTATGTTACTGGAATCCACTGTCTATTTGCAGTTGGTGTCATGGTTGATCTACAGAGGATAGAGATCCTAAGTCTGCACACCCTGGTAGGTTTAAAGGCTTAAATCAATACAAAATCTCAAAGCTTTCTTTGTTGTTTTGTAACGGTGATGAGATTTGCAACATGCAATTCCTTGCAAGTACAACAATTTGTTTTGTCTGTTGTGTGAATGCAGTAATATCTTTAAAAGGTCGTTGTAGTTTATTTTAGTTTTTTGCATATTTTGTATTTAAACACAAACATGGCAGGTTCAGATTGCGTTATTGTAACTTTTGTAGCTTTGGGTCTCATCAACACTAAGGGAATTAGGTGTAGTGATTAACCCCTTAAGGACACATGACATGTGTGACATGTCATGATTCCATTTTATTCCAGAAGTTTGGTCCTTAAGGGGTTAAATCTGGAGCTAAATAGTAATAGTGGAGCAGTTACCATATAAACCAATAGAATATGATGCTTTGGACTATAAACTGCAACAGCATGGTAGTTAAAGGGTTAAATGTAGCCACTCAATTTGGCTCACATTTTACATTATATATTATATAAAACCACTGTGATTTTGGAATAGGGCAGCGGGGTTACAAAAGGGGCCAGTGCAGAGACAGCCCCCCCCCAGCCTATCTGGGAGCTAAGCAATAATAGCATGTCTGCATTTTAACTGCAGATCTTATTGACCAATAAAGGAGTTAATCAGGTACCACACTTTTAATTAATAAATGAAGCAGTGCAGTCACTGATCTACTGTTATATTAAACCAAATCACTATAGTAGTTATGGTCCCCTGTAATACAGCCATTACTCAGACAGTATAAATCTCTGTATTAATTATTGTTCTCAGACAGTACTCTGTGCCTGGAGTCACAGCTCAGCCATGAGACACGTTGCCCACACTCACTTGACTCTGGAGGTTTTCCTCTTCCGTGTCAGCCATGGGTTGCTAGCTGTTCCTATGCTCGTCATGCGCGCTCCCTAGTGGTGAATCCAGGGACTGCTCATCCAACTAGGTCTGACAGGCAGAGCTCCAAACTGCGCGTGCGCAAAGGTCCTAATTTTTATTTTTTATTTTTTTTAAGAAGGTATGTGATTGACTGTCTGAGGAGACTGTTACTGACAGGGGGTAAGAAAAGTGATAAATCTCAAAGTAATAATGGTTTAAAAAAATGTTAACATTAGCCTAGTGAAATAATGTGGAGCTTCCTCTGAAATGAAGACATGATGGGGCATTTTAGACACAATATTTCAATAGAGCCTCATGAAGTGGGCAATATGATGTAGTGACTGTTCCTTCTTAACTCACCACAGTTAACACTATTGTAGCATTATTTACTGAGATAAATAGAGCTGAGGAGGTAAATAGAAAACTTACTTCAAGACGCTTCCGCCTTCTGAATGACATTCAATCGCGATTCCCTGGGCGTGCTCTGCAGAAATGGCGTATAAGCACATAGCCCTCAACTGTCCCTCTGTAGGTGGGATTGGCCCTACTTTAGGCCCAAATCCCTCTTTCCCACTTTTCTGTTTTAATGTCCCTCTTTTGTAGGAACTTAGTATTCATGGTCTATCTGGGTGTATAACAGAGCTCCACAGCAACAATACTTCAAGTAATGTGTCTTTAAACTGCAATAAATGTGTTTAGAAATCGGTCTGCGTAAATAAAATACATTGTTCTTGTTATAAATTAGATTGTAGTGCAACACATTGATATTAGTAAGTCACCCATAATAAGTCCGAACAGCACCTCTACAGGCCAAACCACCACTCGCACCCCACTAGCACTAAAATTAAAATGTCTCTCCTTTCTCCTTTGAAATGTTGGAAGGTATATAAGCACATGTGCACTTTGACGTTCTTTGTATACTGCAATACATGTGCATTCATGTATATGGCTCTGTGGAAGTTAAAGGAATGCTCCAAACATCTAAAGCACTTGAACTTGATAAAGTGTTTTGATCTACAGTCAGTAAAAGACAGAGTAAAAGCATCAGAGAACGATATCACAGACCTCAAGATGGGCCTGTCATCCCTAACAGACACTGTTCTAACTCTGCAGGCTAATCACCAAGCCCTTTCACTCAACTACACCGCCCTCGATCACAGGTCACGGCGCAATCATTTAAAAAGAAGGGGAATTCCTGACCTAATCACATCTAATGAGCTCCCACCGAGGGAGCACGAGTTGTGGCCACAGTACTCCCACCAAGCCAGGCAAAAAAGTTCTCCCTGGATGGGATCTACTGCTTGCCGACCTCAGGTAGAGGTCCAGCTACGGTAACACAAGACGTCATAGCCCGCTATTCCACCTCACAAGATAAAAAATCCTTGCTGACAGCACTACAGGACAAGACGCCGCTAACTTTTAAAGGCTCTACCCTTTCTATATGCCAAGATCTCACAAGGTCCACCCTACAGTGGAGGAGATCCCTGAACCTTGTCACCAGCCAGCTTAGAACGGCGGGCATAGAATAACACTGGAGATCACCCAGGTTCCTAGTGGTGTCACAACAAGGGACTATACACAAAATCTCAACGCTTGATAAAGCTTAACCAACCCAAAGAATGACCCTGCCCAGAGAACCAACACACACGCACGAAACCCGCCGTGAACTGCCCCCTCCACCTTGGTGGCAGAGATGACCTCAATACCAGAGACATGAATGCACAAAGGGTGCTGTTGCTAACCTGCGATTCCAACTTTTATGTTTAAGTTTAACCAATTTCCATATTCAGTTTCATTATTAACGCCTTTGATTATAGTTTGACTTGAAACAGCATATGTGTTTCGCTTTAGTTCAGCGCTTAAAATGGTGGCTAATCGCCCATGGACAGACGCTCAGGTTCCCAGATGACAAGGGGATTCACCCATATTAACCCCTTAAGGATACATGACGGAAATATTCTGTCATGATTCCCTTTTATTCCAGAAGTTGTGTCCTTAAGGGGTTAAATGGGGTGCATCGCTGCACTTACAACCCTCGCTGCCCCCTTGTTTAGGGATACATCTAGAAGACAGCCAGACTGAGACCACCCCCACTTGCTCACACTGCTGTGCTCATAAACTATGTTGCTGATCTCCCTGCGCTACTGTAACATTGTAAAAAAAAATTAATGTTTGATTGTATTACGCATGAACAGTCCCGTATTCCAGACAAAAGTTGTCTCCTGTTTCCACTATGCTATGTGCCATGTTACATTCTCTTCTTTCTGTACCCAACCTTGACTGGGAAAAAAAAAAAGACAGGGCAAGTGCATCTATACCGCTTCATCAAAATTAAATGGTCTGGGTGACTATAGTCACTATAAATATCCAAACTGTACACAGAGACTATCTCCAGATGAGTTATTTTTTTGCCACTGTGATACCAATTCAGAATTTAGTTTGCAAAAAAAAAACCTGAATAAACAGCATTGTTATTGTTAATAACTTTGAACTGATACATAATGACAGATCACGCTACACATATACTAATAAAATGCACCCTTTATTGCAGTTATGTTTTCTCGTCAATAAATAGTAACACTTATTCCATATGATCTCGGTCAGTTTATCAGCACATAGAGATCTACCTCTGATCTCCCAATGAGGAGGGGATAAACAGGAAGTGTCCTAATAATGTGGACCATGTGCAATGAGGAGGGGCTGATCATCTGACGTACCGCCCTCACTTTCCACGCCTGGTTGTTACTGGGCTGGGGAAAGTGCTGTCAAAAGCTATCAACGACAGGCAAAGGCTGGGGAGCGTTTTTTTCGGTAAGTAGCTATGGGTCGTCCTCTTACCTTCCGGAATATCGGCATTGTGGCAAACCTTCACTCTGAACGCAGCACCTGTAGGGCTGAGATCAAACAATGCATGCTGGTCGTACCGTGTTTGCCAGTTAATGTTACCTATGTACTGTTATGTCAAACCAGCATCACGTATAACGCTGCCCTGGGGCAGTGATACATTGTTAGTGCCTGTTTATCTCAATACTTTAGCTACGGTGCAAGATGACACATGATGAAATGGAACTGTATCAGTACAATCATTTCATAGGATTCTAAGATGTTGCAAAATGAATGTGAATTGGATAGCGTATGCTGACATTTTCATCAAAATGTTTCACCTTCCCTCTCACGGAACACAATAGTTATCTGGTTTGATTTGGATTTATTTTTACTTGCCCAATTTTGGCATCTGTTGCTGTAATCTATGGTTTTTACAGAAACTGTTAAATATCCACTAAATTCATTTTGAGCAATTATTGAATAGGTGTTTCATAAGTCAGCAGCTCTCTAAAGTAGGTGTGTGTGTGTGGTTTTTTTTTTATTTTAGTTTTTTTTTGTGTGTGTTTTTTGCTAGTATGTCTTTAAAAAATATGTGTTCACCCTAGCTAGATGATGATGATGATGATAATGGGAGCATTGGAGAATAGCTAACTTTATAACTGCTTTGTATCAGTACTAGGATTATTTGCTAAACTGTTGTAGAATAATACCTATTCTATGTTTCTATTCATATCAGGCTTGGAAGTCTAATCAGTTAAAAACAAGGTAATTTTCTAGACTGTACCATGAGAAGTTTGGAATTGTCAGAAATTCAAAGTGAATTTAAAATATTCTGCTAAGTAGGCAAACAGGAAACATTCTCCTACTGACTTATTCACTCATTTCAAAATTGTAGCAAACTATAAGCCAAATGGCAAAGCAGAGGCTAAAATAGCTGACTTTTAAAAATTCTCAAACTGCTATAGTCACAGCGTGTTTCTGTTCTTTTAAAGAAGCACTATAAGCACTACAGTGTGCTGAAGCAGTTACGGTGCTTGGAGTTGGCCTTGGCGCCCCACCAATTGTAAGTAGTCTAACCGTTTTAGAATAGTTTGACTTCTTTCCTGGTTGGTGCTCTGCAGGTCCACTTCTTCTGGCAGAGAGCCAGATGCTGCTAAGCAGGGGCTTTTATTGGCTCTCGTGAACTTTTTTTCTTTTGTCCATGACTGCTCGTTTCCAAACATACATTATTATGCAACAGATTAAATTCCATGTTCTACATGCGGAGAATAACACCACTCCAAACAAAGCACCCTGAGCTCTCTAACAAGTGCTTATATTATGGAAGAAACCCACATGGATTCAGTACTGAACTCACTCCCCATAGAGATGGCACTGGGAGCCCTTATATAAATTTGTACACCAGGGAGATTTTCCCCTTGCTGTTGGTTCATCTAATAAACCATGTTTTCAGAGGACAGCGCAAGGGCAGAAATAAATTTTAAAAAAAGATATTTTTTTATATATATATATATATATATATATATATATATATATATATTTTATAAATAAAAATTTGTTTGTTTTTTTCGGCTCAAAATGGTATCTGGCTTTTGCAAAGTTAAAATCGTTTCTTATTAAGAATGTGAAATATCTTCAAAACAGTTTTGAGCTTCTTGAAAAGAGACACAAAGATCAAGAACTTTCTGATGGTAAAAATTCTTTGTGGTTAAAGATTAACTTTGAGAATAGAGCATAGTAGTGTTTTTATGTTTGAAAAAATAAAAAATCTGCCAAATTTTGGATATTCAATGTCGTATCAGCCTATCGGAGTGGGAAATCTTTAGGTTACTGACATCTGGTACATAACTAGCCAACACACTCCTTCTCCTGTTTATAATCTGCATTGCAAACAAACACTGAGTAAAACGTACATGGTTTTTAAAGAAAGGTGTACACTTGCCATGTACTTTACTGTATAATCCTTACAAACATGTGCCAGCATTATACTTCTTGCATGCTTGATTTAAATATTTCTACATTTTAACTTGCATTCTTTAGAAACATAAAACCGTTGTAAAAATTGTTAAACTGTTAGTGGTTACAGTGCTTATAGTGTCCCTTTAACATATTACCAAACGGTACCTAGAACTGGGTGGCTAATAACCTAAAAAGTAGGTCTTTATAGGTGCTTGTGCAGTGTCCATTTATATCATGTTTTTTCTACCCACACAGGA